GCGGGTATAAATTGGCAGTAGCAAGCACAGGACCGGGTTAACTGGCGGAACATGGGAGAGGCCTTTGTACTGCAGTGGACGTAGTCAGGCTGATGATGATGATAATGATGACGAAGCTAGCAAAATGTTTGTCAGCTAAAGCTAGAAGGTAACCTTTGAGTAAACACTCTTGCCTTGTTAACTGCTTGCATGACACCTAATATTGATTTGGTTTTGCTGCGGCGACTCCTTGTGGCTGTTTGTCGCGAAAGAGCGATGTAAAGTGTGCAGGAGAAAATTAGTGCGTAGGTGGGAAAGAAAACGTAGCCAACATTTTTCTTTTGTTTTTTCAGTTCATGCCAGAGCCAAGTGCTGAGGCAGATACTGCCGTGTCGCATTGTGCACTGTATTGTTGTGTGCGCATATTGCAGTTTTATTCTGCTTCGGTTCTTGTTATAGTGTTGCCTATAGGCTTATTTCTTGTGTATAATTTGAAATCATGATATAACAGCTGTATTTTCGCGTCTCGGTCTCGCAGTGCAATGAACATCTTTTTGTCGCTCCGTTTGTCATGCATTAACAAAGTGGGCATGTGCTTACCAAGAATATCACTTGAAAATAACAGTTTTTGCTTCTTCAACAATTCTCATGTTTTAATTAAATTGTGTGCATAGTTACACATTGACATCGTGTGCTTACCGCTGTAGCGGTGCAGCTTACACGAAGCTCATTGATGCATGCAAACAACGTGTTAAAAAAATAAAGTATGGCCCTAGAGATGAGTCCACACGGAGAAAGAATCTCGGAGGCTTTATAATAATCCTGGTCACTACAGAATGACCTTCGAGACAGTCTTTTTTGCGGTCTGCCATTTCTGAGGCTGCAAAGTTTCACCACACCCGTTTGGTGCGCTGCAAACCCAAATCCGCCGCATGGGAAACGAGAAGTGAGACTGCATGCAATACGCTGAGCACTGACAGCGGCGAACAAAGCATCGACTGTCTGCGCGTCATATTTAATTCAGACGTCATTGAACAGTCTAGTGGTACCGTGCCGGCCGTGTTAGATCCAGAATAAACTAGGTTATTCGTGTCCTGCGCACAATCTTAATGAAATAATATTGACCAATCACGTAGCTTCTCAAACATGGCGGCGCAGCCTGCCCCGAGCGTTGAACGCTATCTTTGAGCGATAAATCTCAATGCATTAAAATAATCATAAAAGGCATCTTGTTTTTTGCTTCACTACAAGCAATTAACATTGTGTGCTTAGATTTGGGTGCACGTTAAAGAACCTCAGGTGGTCTAAATTTCCGGAGCCCTCCACTACGGCGTTTCTCATAATCATATAGTGGTTTTGGGACGTTAAACCCCACATATCAATCAAGCAATTAACATTTGTCCCGTGTTTCTGTTCACAAAAACTAAATCAGTGCGTGTATGTGTTTCTAAAAAAGGTCGAATCACTGTGAAGCTTGTGCAATAGAGGCATCAGTTCTGACAAAATTGCACGTCAACACACGATAGAGTGCGGCAGAGACGCAGAGGGGCATCAGACATCGCGTCATGGAAGCTGTTTAAAGAGCTGATGGTTTCAAACTATCATTTATGAAAGATTCTGTCATAATTTACCACCAATATTGTCAGCCTCTGAATCAACAAAGGGTGCCTCTACAGGTTTGTAGGTTTGTGTCTAGTACTCTGCACTCAATGTGATACTATTGTACTGAGTGAGTTCTACCCTAGAAATCGTATCAGAGGCCGTACGCACAATCACGCTATCTCGTTACACTATCAAACGCGAAGCATTAACACTCTGCACTTTGTCGCTTCCATCACATATAAAAATCGCACTTGCGCAAGACTGGAAAAAGCAAGGCCTCAACTGCAGCGACAGTGCCATTTATCAAATAGTAATATCTCAATTCTGAAACAGTGACATACTTTTGCAAACCATCACAGTGTTTTCACTGCTTACTTACTCAAGAGCTTATCAACGATCACCTAATAAGAAGAGTGTGGTGTAGATCTGCTGCACCGTATTCCACAGCTGAACTTGGAGCACGAAATCTTTTGAAGAACTGAACCAATTTTTTTATAATTATTGTAACTGTTCATTCGTACACATTATAGTTTGATGACATTATGTGACGTTGAACGCCCCAAAAGGACTATATGGTTTCGAAACACGTCATAATGAAGAGCTCCGATAATTTTGATCACCTTGGGCTCGTGCACCCAAATGTGAGCACACGGGCCTATAGCATTTTAGCCTCCATCAAAAATGCAGCCGCCACCGCCACCAGAATTCAATACCGCGACCTGCGGGTCCACAGCTGAGTACCTTAGCCGCTCGACCACCATGGCTGGGCTACCTAATTTAAGGTATGGTATTTGTGCATACTATATAAAAATATTGTTACGTAAGTGTTGGTGCCAGTGTCAACTAGAGGACGCTTCTATATATAGAAGAGGTTGAAGTGTCTCGGGCTCAGCACCGATTGTGTCGCGCTTGCCTACGGCGTGTGCAACTGCAACTTCAACTCTCCACATAGCAATATTTTGCCTCAACCATGAAGTTTTGTTTATAAGGAGACTTTTTATGAATATAGCGAAAGTGCTCGACTGGATATGGGTGGCGGAGAAACATCGTTCCTGGATACTAGCGCACCAGAGACACAAACGTTCGAAGAGGCAAAATTTTAGATGAAGGTCGCCAGACAACCAATGGTTTCTGATAAAAAAAAGAGATGTGGTCATTTCTGTTTTCCACAAAGTATCTTAAAATCCAAGAAGCTATCAGCAGCATAATCATGCTTCTTGTTTTCTTCACCAAACAGACTGGACAGCCTCAGCCAGAAGGTGCCCTGCCGCGGTGGTCTAGTGGCAAAGGTAGTCGGCTGCTGACCCGCAGGTCGCGGAATAGAATCCCGGCTGCGCTGGCTGCATTTTTGATGCAGGCGGAAATGTTGTAGGCACGTGGGCTCAGATTTGGGTGCACGTTAAAGGACCCCAGGTAATCGAAATTTTCGAAGCCCTCCACTACGGCATCTCTCATAATCGAAATTGTGGTTTTCGGACGTTAAAATCCACATATCAATAAATAAATAAATAAATAAATAAATAAATCAATTAATCGTCCAGAAGGTGAAGCATGGGCGGAAGATGACGATACGAAATAAAGCCCCAAATACAGTTGGTCAATTGCCGCACTAATCAAGTTGAGATCTCTCTTTTCCGGCTGATACTCTGCGCTAAAATTCTTCGCTGTTTGGAAGACCTTGTAACCCATCATTAAAAAAATGTAAGCAAGCAAGCAAGATCTGTGAACTAAGCTCAGGTCATATGCCGAATATGCAACATTGAAGAGAAGAACACAGACCACGTCGCCCTCCGCTGCAGAGCTGATTGGTGCATACGTCACGTAAAGGGCACCCCTTTTTTACCTGCGATTAGAGTTCGAGAGTATACCATGAAGGACAGTACAGTGGTGGCCTAAGCAATACTTTCCCCCAACTACTATACATGCAGCAGCACCCTTCAGAAGTTGTCTGTAGCGCACGCAGGTAATAAAACAGTTCTGAGGTCACCGCCGTGCCGCCTTTGAAACCCCCTTCATATTTGTCTACCGCGGTTCTAATTCCTTCCAATGTAATAAGCTACAGGTAGGGAGAGTAGAGAATCCACAATTTGTGCGCGTTTCGTCATTAGGGTATCTTAGACAAAACAGTTTAATGTTCTAGGTCTTGATGACCTATCTCGGTTTTACTGGCCCCACTGTATCACCATGCTTCGGCGACTCAGGGGTGTTACTGTCTAAGGGGAGGTAAGCTGCACACATGAGCAAAGCACGCACTCTGAAAATTAAAAGTGTGGTTTGGAACTAATAAATCAATCTCAGCGATAAAACTAATCAAGGTATATTGTTTAATAGATGGTCAGGAATACGAATACAGATGGCGGTCAATATATCCAGAAAATTCTCCTCCACTTCTTAAACTATAAAAAAGACAGTACACCCGATGACAGGTCTCTTTATGTAAACCCTTCATTTGGACGCAACAATGCCAAACAATGCGACCACGTAGCCATAGCCAAAAAACACTTAAGCCATAGTATTCAATTATGAATATTTTGCGAGCATATTCAACAAACTAGATGAACTTCGATTACGGTTAAGATTGTCGTTTACGGATAAGGCCTGGGTGGTTTCATAATAGCATTGTTTGGTTAATGTTGACTGTTTACGAGTCCAAAAATGGACAGAAAAAAATTGCGAGCGCAAAAAACGTGGCCGAACAACCACATTTAAGGTGTTCTTGCTCACGCTGACATTAAGCGTGCAAGCACGGGCACGCGAGAGAGAAGACAAGACAGCATGAACTTGTCTCCGCATTTTCATGCCAAGACATTTCACATGACAGGCCGCAACCAGTTCAGCTTAACTAAAATAATATCAAAGTTTATTTTTAATAGCGTTGTTACAGCATGAAGGATATTCAGAAGAGGGTCCCGAGGTCAGTGAATCATACCAAGAACCTCTGCGCAGTGTTATCACATAGAAACTGCGAAATATGCTCGAAAATGTCAAAATATTCAGGTAAATCAAAATAAAAAACACACCAACGGGGGGAAACGTTATGCAGATTAAGTTAGTAGATGTAACTGTCATTTTTTCATTTGTCAAATACTGAATAAAGAAATACAAGTTCATTCTGACAATGACAACATGCAGGGAAAGCAACCATGACGAGAAACAACGCAATTAGGTAATGTTTTTATGTGATCACACAGGAGAAATAAAAAAGCGCTAAAGGAACACATTACACGCTGTCATTACCTATTGGCTTGATATATTAGGTCTAGGTGTTTTTTTTAAAGACAGTGAGAGATGACAATGTTTTGATTGGCTGAGAGAGAGAATTCCACATTCTTATAGCACACTGGTAATAAAAGTATTTGTGATTATTTCTAATGCACAGAAACAACTGCTGGACTTTCACAGCGATAACTCTGTGGTTCTCACACCTTCGAATTTGCCGATTTTGCTAGTATACCTTGGTAACTTGGGTCATACAAAACTTGTCCGTGCCTCTCAAACTTCTCGTATACGTAGAGGCATTTAGGGTGTGGCGGCGATCGAATGTGAGAGTTCTTAACTCGAAGATCATACGTGACGTGTTTAGCTGTAAAAAAAATTGGGTCTTTGTCAATGTAATCACTCCCATTACTTTTATCATACAACACTTTTATGGCGCTTGGAATCAGTCAACTTGAGGTACATAGCGCTATATGCTTTCTGTTGGCATATTTGCTCTTGATTCAGCATATGCTGCATCTAATTGTACGTTACGTACTTCAGCTGCTGGAAGTATAAAATGATGATCCTGCTTGTGCGCCGTCAAGAACAAACTGTGCCACTAGACGTTAACAAGGGTGCATTTACACAAAACGGTGATATAGCAGCCAAACAACAATATACAAAGTGCAAGAGGTCATACATCATTCTACCATTATTTCTACTTCACCTGTGCTATACAGAGGTATACAGGATACTGATTCTCATGACACTGAGGTTCTGCCACGCTATGTATGAGAGTACAGACGAGCAATTGAAGATCAGTTCAAAGCGGCGCCACTGAGGTCTCTGATTTATCACTTGAACTCTGCCTGTAATGCTGTAGAATGCAATTACAGGTGATATGGCTATTCAATATAACACTAATCGCTCTCCATACGCACCTACCAAACCATATTTATCTATCAACTTACGCTGACCAGATCTGCTTCTGGACATCTGCGACAACTCGCCTGCAGTTATGAGCGAGAATACAGAGAGCTGCTACTGCAATTGCTTTGTATCTACGTAATCGAGACCTGGAAATTTCCTCCGCAAAGTGCGCTCTTCTGACATTTACGCGCAAACCCATGTCGAATTACAGAGTGTCAATTATTGACCAAATACACCATATAGTCAATCTCACAAATTTCTGGGTGTCATAGTCGACAGAGACATATCATGGAGCCCTCATTTGTCGTATTTGAAAAAGCGACTAACAGGCATATGCCATCTTTTCTAGTTTCTCGCTGGAAAGACTTGGGGAATGCAGCCTAATGCTATGTTACGACTGTACAGGAGCTTTTCCTTGGCTTTTTACGATACAGCCTGTCTGTATTATCAAACGCCAGCAAAAGAAGTCGACGCACGATACAAAGCGTTCAGGCACAGGCGCTTCGAATATGTCTAGGTCTGCCTCAGGGTGCCTCAACAGTGGCGACTATAGCTTTAGCCAAAGACCACCTCGTGCAGACCCATATTGAAATTAAAGCTTTGAGGACACACATAAGGCAAGTGGGCCGGACTCCCCATCACCATCTAGCCTCTCTACCAGCGCATAGACCTCATACTTCCTTTTGTCGAACATTAACCACACATGGTGACTCCCTACCAACTGGTTTTACGCCTGCGGCGAGACCTTCAATTCCTCAATGGTGCCTCAAACAGCCAGTGGTCAACCTGACAATACCAGGCATCCTGAAAATAACGAGATTTCTCAATACCAGCCCTGAAGCAGCTCGCCTTATTTTTGCTGTACGAGAAGTACCAAGACTGCACCCACGTCTACACCGATGGCTCCGTCCTGCCAGACAGCTCAACTGTGGTGGTCGTTATTCCAACGCACGCCACAACCATCAAATTCAGGACATATCATGCAACCACAACAACGGCAGCAGAGCTTGCAGCACTTCGCGCTGCGCTCCATTTCATTACCGACCAAAGCACGCAACGGTGGACGATTTTCTACGACTGCAAAGCGGCCCTGCAGTCAATTCTGTCAAATCTACGCCGTGGTCCACACGAGCAGTTGGTATTTGAAACAGCAGAAATGCTACACCATATAATAGAGAAAGGGCACCACGTTATATTTCAGTCGTTGCCAAGCCACTGTTGAATGATCGGTAACAAACGAGCTGATCAAGCTGTCCAATCAGCCCCTACAGAAGACAACAACCAGTCAATACCTCTCTCAAGAATGGACGCTGCTAGGAGGCTCCGCATGCTTGCCCGCCAACGCTCCATCGCTCTTTGGAATGAGCCTCTCTTTACGGATGCAAGATTACGATCCCTTGATCCAACGTTAAGCTTACAGCTTCAACGAAAATTCGACGAGGTGACGCTACTGCTCTGTGCAGACTATGGTTGGTAGTCACGTTTACCCGTGCGTACGCGTTCCGCATAGGGATGGTCGACACCGCTGACTGTGCATACTGCGGAGATGAAGAAACAATTCGACATATCCTGTGTGACTGCCCGGAATAGGACCTGGAAAGACAACACTTTTCTAATACACTAAACAGGTTAGATGAGCAGCCGCTGTCAGAAGAAAGTATACTGCGCCATCGTAATGACTCATCGTCACAGAAGAAAGCCGTGCAAGCGCTACTGAGCTTCTTGCGAACTACTGGCCTGTCGGAACGCCTCTGAGTGGACTGATTTTGTGTGTGCGTGTGTGTTGGTGTTTTTCTCTTTTTTTATTTTTTAACTCTCTCTTTCTGTTTCAACCCTCTATTCCCCAACACAATTGTAGGGTTGCATACCGGATACTAGCATCTGGTTTACCTTCCTGCTTTCCTTTTTTCTCGTTTCTCTCTCTAAAGGTGATATGCAATTTTATATATGAAAAATTACTCATAAAGAAATTATAAAAGTCTTCTTAAAATGTGCTGGTCCTCCTGTTATGTACGAAATTCTAAATTCAAAGGATTTACTCTGCAAGACTTGCAGTACCATGACATGGCCTGTGAAGCCTTCCAAGTATACTTTAATGCTGTGGTAAATTCGCCTAAATCTTGTTATGCGATTTTTTAACTGGAATTGAATATTTCCTTCAAGCGGTTGAGTGAAAAACATGAGTATACTAGGTAAAAAATATAAGCGTTCGCTTTCTGAATTAACGTCTAGAGAAAAGAAAAGAAACTTAATTAGGCTTGCGTAGCACTCTCCTAATTCCTGACATGTTTATACGCATACACGAAAATCATCTTATTGCAGATGGCCCCGCTATGGTGATCCAGTGGCTAGGGTACTCCTGACCCACAGGTCGCGGGATTGAATCCTGGCTGCGGCAGCTGCATTTTCAATAGAGGCGAAAGTGCTGTAGACCCGTCTTCTCACATATGGGTACAGATTAAAGAACCCCTGGTGGTCAAAATTAGTGGAGCCATCCACTACGGCATCTCTCATAATTGTGCATTTTGGGACGTTAAATACCACATAACAATTCCGCAATCAATGCTTCTGTAGATATTTATGGACGCTGTATCTTTTCCTTGCAAATTTGCACTATTTGCGTCAAGGGTAAATTCACTGAACATAAATCGACGCATTGGCTTGCCTTTTACAGTAACAAACAGCACCTCCTGATACTGTTATCATAATCGCATTTTTGACGATTGTCTAATTATTTTCAATGCAGTCGAAGTATGACCTTCAGCTATATCCTTGCTAATGAGCTCCTCGCTTATTCCGAGAAATGTTTCCCTGAATGCTACGGCATCACTGTTATTTTTTCTAGAACAAGGAACATAAACTGTGCGGTGATATTAGCCATAGCCAATATTCAATAAAGGCGGGCCTCATAAATGACGGCGGAATCACGTTTCACGCCGAGCTCCTGTTAAACTTCAACGGGCACCTCAATGCTCAAGGAACAACTTCGCTTTCTTTAGCATTTTATTCGGACAAATATCTACCTGGAAAGACCGTCATAAAAAAATACTTCATAATTGATAGCACAATGGTGGGACATAACCACTGACAATTCATTTACTCTTTTTCTGCAGCTGAAGCAGAGCACGTTTGTTGGTTCTTATCAGATATTGACTGCAACTAGCTTTCTATTTGCATTTTAGACTGATAAGCATTGCGTTCGTTGATGAAGAATGACAATCGCCTCATTTGATAGCTGATAATTCAGCACAGAGCAGCTTTCAGTAACGCTCTTCCGAGACACATGGGTTGTTGAAAATAAAAAGCAGCGTTGCATTAAAAGCCGCAACATTGTTGGACACTGTCGTTCATTAGGTAAGAGAGTATTCTTGAATAATAGAATGGTATTTTATGGTAGCAGTTATGCTCATGTGATAGACGCAGGAAAATGTTAGAGGATTCGTGGATCCATCAAGCGTAATGCGTCAGAGTCAATACGTCATGAGAAACTACGGAGATATGAACTCGCAGAGATTTCTCGTGCACGCGCAGTGTCAACTTCGCAAGAATGCAGACAGTGCAGTGGGAGGTAGTGAAGGTTTATCATCACACGACATGTCCGCTATGCGGCTGTACTTGGCGCGATTGAACTAACGATCACGCAAACGGCAAAAACTGACGATACGTGTCATCTCAAAACTTGAACGTCCTACTTAGGCGTAGTTGATGATTGAAATGTGAGCTTTAACGCCTCTAAACCACCATATGATCATGAGAGACACCGTACTAGAGGGCTCCGGAAGTTTTGACTACATGGGGTTCTTTAACGTGCACCCAAATCTGAGCACACGGGCCTACAGCATTTGCGCCTCCATCGAAAATGCAGCCGCCGCAGCCGGGATTCGATCCCGCGACTTGAGTATTAGCAGCCGAGTATACCTGAGTCACTAGACCACCGCGGTGGGGCTAGTTAAGCGTATATAGTGTAGCACGTAAAACGATTCTGTTCTGTCATAAGGATTCCTTGCGTAGAAGCATTTACGGAAATTCATAATTCGTACGAGAAGACACCTGAAACTGCGGCGCTGCATTTTTAATTAGAAGCCCTAAGTCACCGCACAATCTCTAGTGAAAGTGACATAAATATGCGGAACGCTATTTAGCTGTCAAAATTGTTTTCTATACATCTACAGTTTTAGGCCTCTAAAATATGGGATAAATAAAATTCGGATGGATTGCTTAGTTATGATGACGACATTGAGCCTAGAATCATTTTGGGGCAGCAGCTATCTTGTTGAGATATTGTGATAAAACACAGCAGCATACCGGCAACATCGGTTGTGACCATAATCACTGCACAGCTTCTATCACCGCTCACATAGAGCAGATCCTCTTGGAAGCGGACACCCTTGCCTGCAAATGAAACAATAGATAGTGCGTTATCAAAAGACAGTATGTAGAATATTTGCAACTTGTGGTAAACCTAGAAGAACAGGCCGGTTTTGTCAGTTAAAGTAGCTAAATATTTGAAGATGTATCCTGCGTATGCTATGGCGTAATTGATAGGAGAACTGCGGCTTTATACATGACTTACGAACCTTTTTTTGCGATAACGCTGGTGCACCCATCAACTTTAAACTAAACTGAGAGACATGTAATCTGCACGTGATCCTAAAACAAAAGCTTTAAACACTTACACAGCCCTATAGCATTCACACAAATGAAATCAAGGCGCCTGGTTATTCTGAAAATATACTGAGTTGTAATGTTACTGCTACGTCTGTCACATTTGCCCCATTGCGAAATTTCAATCTGTTGCCTTCGCTGCTTATATTGCAGAAACACAGCATAGTGTACAGACGCGAATGTACCAATGAGAGCCTATGTTTCGAATTCTTTATTCGTGACAGGTGTACAGTCGGTGGCAAGATTAATACGAATGCTCTGACGCGTGACCTGGACTGATTTGGCGCATTCCAGCCACAAAGTGTGGCAGCTTGGGCTAGTTGGTATGGCAAGACGATAGTTATAGCGCGAGAACAAAACGACGACACAGAGACAAGAAGGACACAAAAGACACGAGCGCTCGTGTTTTTCGTGTCCTTCTTGGCTTTGTGTCGTTGTTTTGTTCTCGCGCTATAACTACTATCCAGCAACAAAGCCCCAGTCATTGTTGCCCAGAAAATACTTTGGTATGCTTGAATTGTATGTGACATGCAAGAATAACGTGTTGCCAAGAGAATCCAGAGTTACACGACGCTAGTCAATCCGCCGCAGAGCTGATTGGTGCTTATGTAACGTAAAGGCCACCCCTTATATTTGCTATGAGAGTTCGAGAATATAACCCGGAGAACAGTATAGTGGTGGCCGAAGCAATATTTCTTTCCAACCACCGTACATGCAGCACCGCCCTTCAGAAGTTGCAGAACACGCTGCTTAGCATTTGCGTAAAGCTTGCTCACGACTGTATATAACTGATATCGCTCTTCAAAACAAAAAAAATATCTCAAAGTTTGACCAAATTTCCGAATTCTACAGAAATTCACACAATCTCTTTCAAATTCCTAAACGTGTGGAGAGTCACTAAATTGTCCCTGTTATTTTCTTGAGCATAACGCGAATTCCTTTTCAAGTTCAGCGTGCATTGGTCGACATAAATGGACGGAAGTGCATAGAAGTTTGTTTGGCAAATTGTTCCATGAATTTTCTGCTGTGGCATGACATAAAACGTGGTGCTCAGGATCGTAGAAGTACACGAACTTTTTGAGATGTCAGCGGGTACTGAATAGTGCGAGTTGGAAAGTGGCCGGGAGGGCCAGTCCCAACGAAACACGGATGATAGAAGAAAACGGGGACACAAACGCTGTCTGTTGAGAAAGAGACTTTTGCGCCAATAAAGAGCCCATACTGTCACTCCTCGGTGGTGAAGTCACTCACTGCGCTTGATGTGGAAGATATTGCGTTTGGCGTGATGAGATCGTGACAGCATTACGAGCCATCACCTGTCGCTGTAGCATGCTTGGCAACTGGCAGAATAGGTATATGCACAATAGTTTCACAGAGACGTTGTTTTATGCAATGATGTGGCTACTGGAGCTGTTGACGTCCAACAAATAGTGCATCGTTGAGTAACTGGATGTATTATGGCCGACAAATTAAAAAAGAAAGATTAGAAAGATTAAGCAAAGAGTAGTAGCAATTATTGTGATTAATGGCTCGGAAATATATTGCCACCTGGTCGTATTGGTCTCATAAATTTATCTTACGATTGGTGATGGCCTCTACAGCACATCAAGGGAGTGTTTATGGTAGTTTCAGCCGCTTCCACGGTTTGCAAGTGGTGACCCAGTTTTAAACATTGACGCTCATTTTGAACCAGTCAAAAAACGTCAGCTGTTGTGACATTCATTTATCACATCAAGACTCGCAGTACTGAACGTCTAATTATCCATATAGCAGCCTAAGTATGACATTCAGTTCAGCACTGCTTCCCCCAGTCTGACTCCCCGACAGAACTAATAATTATTAACAATATTCCAACTTTAGAATCCCAAAGAAATCTAGCTAGAAATAAATTTCCTTTTAACCTATCTAAGAAAAACACTATCATAGACCTTTCGCACGTGCTCACTGTTTTATCTTCACGTCCTACTAGAGGATACCATTCTTACAAATTTACAGCTACCTTTGCGCGCACTAGCAACTTCAAGTACTCTTTTTTCCTTCGCACAATAACAGACTGGAACGAGCTGCCGCACCATATTTTTGTGTCTGCAAATGTAATAAATCTCTAGAAAATCAGTGCGAAGTGGGAGTTATGTAACCCGCGAATATATTCTACGTCTGTCTGATTTATTTTTTCTGTCGTTGTTGTTTTCTTGTTTTCTTCTTTCTCTACACCTGTACATCTAATAATTGGTCATTTCATTGTTGTACCACCTCCCGCTCCTGCTTGGGCTATTTTCATGGCATGCAGTACTTTATAAATAAAATAAATATCTTTGCTAATGGGTGCTTCGCTTACTTCAAGAAATGTTTCCCTGAATGCTACGGCATCACTAATATATTATAGCACAAGGAACATAAATTGTGTGGTGACATTAGCCATAGCAATTATTCTATAAAGATTGGCCTCATAAATGAAGGCGGAATTGTGCTTAAAGCCGAGCTCCTGCTAATCTTCAAAAGGTACCTCAATGCGCAAAGAACCACATCGCTTTTTTTAGCATTTCATTCGCTTCATAATACTTCATAATACTTCATAATGATAGCGCAATGGTGGGACATAGCCACTGGCAATTCGTGTACTCTTTCTCTGAAGCTGTAGCAGAGCACGTTTCTTGGTTCGCATCAGATATTGACTGCAACAAGCTTTATTTTCATATTTAGACTGCTAAGCATGGCGTTCGTTGATTAAGAACAACAATCACCTCCTTTGATAGCTGATAATTCAGCACAGCAGAGCTTTAGTAATGCTCTTCCCAGACACATGGCTTGTTTAAAATAAAGAGCAGCGTCACTAAAAACCGCAAAATTGGTGACACTGTCGTTCAGTAGGTAAGAGAGTATTCTTCAGCCATAGAATGTTATTTTATGCTAGCGGTTATGGTCTGGTGATAGGCGCAGGAAAATGTTAAAAGATTCGTGGATCTATCAATCATAATGCGTCAGAGTCAAACTACGAAGATATGAACTCACAGAGATTCTAGTTCACACGTAATACCAACTTCGCAAGGATGCAGACGGTGCAGTGGGAGGTAATAAGGTGTACCATCGACATCATGTCCACTATACCGCCGTACTTGGTGCGATTGAGCTAACGATCACACAAACGGCAAAAACTGACGATACGTGTCATCTCAAAACTTGGACGTCTTAGTTAAGCGTAGTTGATGATTGAAATGTGGGCTTTAACGTCTCTAAACCACTATATGATTATGAGAGACACCGTAGCTTAGGGTTCCGGAAGTTTTGACCACCCATGGTTTTTTTTAACGCGCACCCAAATCTGAGCACATGGCCTACAGCATTTTCGCCTCCATCAAAAATGCAGCCGCCGCAGCCGGGATTCGATCACGCCACCTGCGAGTCAGCAGCCGAGTACCTTAGCCACTAGACCACCGCGGTGAAGCTAGTTAAGCGTATACAGTGTAGCAAGTAAAACCAATTCCGTTGTCGCATAAGAATTCCTTGCGTACAAGCGTTACGAAAATTGCTAATTCGTACGAGCATACATCTGTAACTGCGGCACTGCATTTTTAATTAGAAGCCCTGAGTTACCGCACAAGCTCTACTGAAAATGGCAAAATTACGTGGAACGCTATTCAGCTGTCGGAATTGTTTTGCATTCATCAACAATTTTAGGCTTCTAAAATATGGGATAAGTAAAATTTGGGTGGATTGCTTAGTTATGATGAAGACATTGAGCCTAGAATGATTTTGGACGGCAGCTATCCTGTCAAGATATTGTGATAAAACACAGAAGCCTACCGCCAACATTGGTCGTGACCATAATCACTGCACAGCTTTTGTCACCGCTCACATAGAGCAGATCCTCTTGGAAGCTGACGCCCTTGCCTATAAACGAAACAATGAATAGCACGTTGTCAAAACACAGTGAATGGAATATTTGAAAATTGTAGTAAATCAAGAAGGAAAGACCGCTTCTATCAGTTAAGTACCTAAATATTTGAAGATGTATCCTGCATATGTTAATAGCCTAATTGATATAAAAACTGCGGCTTTATACTTGATTATCTAATCTTGTTTTGCAATAACGCTGGTGCCACCATCAACTTTAATCTAAACTGACACACATAAAATCTCACGTGATCCTAAAACAAAGCCTTAAACACTTACATAGCCTATAACATTCACATATATGAAATCAGGGTGCCTGAATTTTCTTAAAATGTGCTGAATTGTAATGTTACAGCTACGTCTGTCACATTTGCTCCATGACGGAATTTCAATTTGTTGCCAACGCTGCACATATTACAGAAACATGTCACATTGAACAGACGCGAATGTAACAATGAGAGCCTATATTTCGAATTCTTTATTTGTGACAGGTGTACAGTCGGTGTGAAGATTAACACAAACGCTCAGACGCACGACCTGTACTGTGTCTCATGCGAGCCACAAAGCCCCGGCCATCGTTGCCAAAAAATACTTCGGTATGCTTGGATAGTATGCGACATGCAAGAATAACGTGTCGGCAAGAGAAGCCAGAGTTACACGACGCTCGTCAATCCGCTGCAGAGCTGATTGGTGCATATTTCACGTAAAGGGCACCCTTTACACCTGCAATGATAGTTTGAGAATATACCCAGAATATACCCGAGAATATACAGTGGTGGCCTAACCAATACTTCCCCCAACCACCGTACATGCAAAATCGCCCTTCAGAAGTTGTCTGGAGCACACACAGGTAATAAAACAGTTCTTGACGGTGGTGGTCGCTCGTTACACGAGCGTCAATCAAACAGTTTCAGAACACGCTGCTTAGCATTCGTGTAAAGCTTGCTCACGGCTGTACATGGACTGATATCGCTCTTCAAAAAAAAAAATATCGCAAAGTTTGACAAAATTCCACCATTTTACAGAAATTCACACAATCTCTTTCAAATTCTTAAACGTATGGAAAGTCACTAAAGTGTCCCCGTTATCTTTTGAACAAAACGCGATTTTCTTTTCAAGTTCAGCATACATTGGTCGACAAAAGTGCATAGAAATTTGTTTATTGGCAAATCGGTCCGTGAATTTACTGTTGTAGCATGACATAAGCGTGGTGCTCAGGATCGTAGAAGCACACGAACTTTTTGAGATGTCAGCGGGTAATGAATTGTGCGAGATGGAAAATGGCCGTGAGGGCCAGCCCAAACGAAACACGGACGATAGAAGAAAACAGAGACACAAGCACTGTCTGTTAACAAAGAGACCTTTGAGCCAATAAAGGGCCCATACTATCACTCCTCGATGGTGAAGCCACTCACTGAGCATGATGTGGAAGATATTGCGCTTGGCGTAGTGAGATCGTGACAGCAACACGAGCCATTACCTGTTGCCGTAGCATGCTTGGCAACTGGCGGAATAGCGGTATATGCACAATAGTTCCACAGAGACGTTGTTTTATGCAATGATGTGGCTACTGGAGCTGTTGACGTCCAACAAATAATGCATCGTTGAGCTACTAGATGTATCATGGCCGACAAATTAAAAAATGAAGATTGGGCGAAGAGTAGTAGGAAATAATGATGAATGGTTCGGAAATATATTGCTACTGGTCGTATTGGTCTCATAAATTTTTCTTACGGTTGGTGATGGCCTCTACAGCACATCGAGGGAGTGTTTATGTTAGTTTCAGCTGCTTCCGCGATTTGCAAGCGGCGACCCAGTTCTAAAAATTGACGCTCATTTGAACCAGTTGAAACAGCGTCGGATGTTGTGACATTCGTTTATCACATCAAGACTCGCAGTACTGAACGTCTTAACAACCACTAATCAGCTATTCTTGGCCATGGTGGAAAGCTGGCCGGTAAAGTTCCTTGTTGAGTCAGTTTGCGCAGCCAGTGCTCTAAAATCATAATGAAATAATTGGAAGCGCAAACCAACGGGACACAATAGAAGAAACAAACAAGCGCGGACTGAAACTCAGTTTATTCGGAGAAGAAATACCAGAAAGATGAGAAAGGGAAACAACCGGAGAGAAGGTTCCACCATGATCAGGTGTCGTCCAGAAACGAGAGGATTATGAATTTGTACCAAATACCCGCCTGTCAACCCTGCTGCTCTCAGATCACATCACCGCGATGCGAAGTCGCTCCCTAAGTGTAAGGAGAAATAGTTCCTCCATAGCACGCTCGAGTATTTGCATGTATTGGGTTTGTCTGAGGAGCAAAGAACATATATGAAGGCAACATAGCGAGATAGACCTGAACTTTCTTTATAATAGCGTCCACATCGGTGGCATTAGAATCATAAGGTTTAAGGCGTAAGTACTTTGGTAGAGAGATTTGCGTGTTTCTGATCGCAAGGCGACAATTGAAAGCTAACGTTACCAAAACAGAGCTTGTTCATAACGCCATCCGTTTTTGTAACAATACGCATATTAAAAGGTTGTAAAATAACTAATGTCATGGAACAGCTTACCTAAAGTGCTTATATTAAACAGCAAAATAATATCGCGCGTGCGCGTGCACACACACACCACACACACACACACCACGCACACACACACACGCACGCACACAAACATACACACACACACGCACGCAAGCACACGCACACGCACATACGCAAGCCTGATGTGTTATATACAGACGCATAGATGCGGAAACACACACAGCTGTCTAGCAACAATGACACAGTGGAACACAGATGCGAAAACACTGCAGTACGTATTACAGTTTAGACAAACGTCGTACGTGGACTGTAGAATTACAATCCATGCAATGTACGGGGCTGTAAATATTACGCTACTATAAAAAATTGACCCCACCTCCCGAAGGGAATTGTGAGGAAATGCGAATGCATTGCGTGGTGTCCATAAAGGCGTTTCGCACGTGTGAAGCCAGCATTAAAAAATGTTTTATTTTTTTACTTGCACCATGCAGCCAATAGCGCAGTTCCCCACCATGACGTTTTTCTGTAGTGAGAAACGCGGTATGCGTTTCCAGCTCTGGTAGCTAGAGTGGACTGTTAAAATAAGCGTGTGGGACCACACCTGTTGCCGACAGCTGCCGACGCCGTAGCGTGACATGGTGGGGGCTCCTGTTGCTAGGGACGCGCGCGCCTACCGCTGTTGCTATGGGAGAGGGCGGTGGATGGATTTGGACGGACGTCTGGCATATCCCGTGTAGGAAATGCATTGGCATTTAAAAACGAATGAATTCAACAAGATATTGGAAGTTGGATAATGCAAATGAAGAGTAAAGTCGACAGACACAAACCTTTGGGTTTTACGTCCATGTGTTTCCTTCGGTGCTCATAAAATGTTCCGTACAATATCCGAGACACCCTGTAAATGCAGAAGTTTATATTGATATTCAAATTTTATCTCGCACACCTAGAATCTTACTTATATCTTTGTTGTAACACGATCGTGTGTAGATAATGAATTGCTGCTTCATTTCATTAACCTGGTCCACTAAACACCTTAGGTTGGTCTTTCCTGTAGTAGTGTGCGTCCATATTGGCTCTGACGTGGAAAAAAACTGCAACAAAAAAACGGGTAACATGAAAACCACAGTCACGGACTTTTGCGCTCTACAGGAGGCTCTACGATGCGGTATTTAAGTGTTTTAGGTGCAAGCTATTCTCTCATGATTATACGATGCCTTTAAATTTACACAGCCGAATGCACTAAAGAGTCTGGTTTTCAAAGATTTCGAAAGATATTCATGCCCTCGGGACTTCAACAACGTTATTTTTTTACATCAAACTTCAAAAGCAACCTTAATCATCTCTTATATACCTTTATCATGGACAGTCTTAACCAAGGTTAAGCTGACAACGGTTAATGCTAACCACGGTTAGGAGTAGCTACGCGGCCGATGCAACACTTGGTCGTCTTAACGTGGTTACCATGATCTGAGTTAGACTTGTTGTGTTTATTATCACAAACCCAGAAACTGAGAAGGGGCGTTGAACGCTGTTTGACGATGTGTATGTAATACAGCTCCAGTCGGCAAAAAATAGTCAAGCAAAACTCGCGTAAAATTAGATTCGCGATGGAAAGACTATCAAAAGACTGTTCCGTTTTCAGCTAGTTTACCGACATAGTATTGCTACATACTTCTCCTGGAAAATTGCTTTTCACATTGTTGGCATCTCACCGCCTCATATACCCGTAAACACCGCATACGTTGTCCAAGATAGAAGGAATCAATCCTGAAGGTGCAAAAAAACTGCACCGCACCACGTAAGCCCGAGTATGTGTGCAATTTTTTTTTTTTGCTAAACACATCACAACCTCTTGATTTCATCAGCTTGCTCAACTGGTCGAACTTAGCATGTGTAACAACTGCAAGCCTCATGCGCCTCAACTGTTACACACCACGGTTAAGCATAGCAACACTTAAAACTGTCTGTATGACGTGGCATCAGTCTTCCTTTTTTTCGGAAAGCTTCTATAAATCCAAACTCTGCTAAATGACCTTGATGTCCCTATCAAGCCTCCACGCCGCGCTGCCAAATTACTGTTTGGTACTTGTATTAGACCGCATAATGAAAGAATATAATATGTCTGCTTAACCTGAAGTTTGTCTAAATTGAAGCTACTTGGTTGGTCGATTCCATGCCATGTGATAGCGTAGCTTGTGCAGCACATTAGCCTGCGCTAGCCAACTCCTGTTTGTATCGGAGTGAATTGAAGCGCTAATAAAATTGATTTTACTTCATTCTGCTTATAAAAGAGGTTGACCCCATCATTGACGGCAAAAGCTTTTGAATCCTCAGTAACCGAATGCCTGTTGTTCACGATCTTTGCTATAACACCTTCCGGGAAGCATCAACATGAAGTAGGAATTAAAAAAACTGTATTTTGTGGGACAAATTATGAGAATAGCTACAGGACAAAAACTGGCTTTTTCACTATCTTAGTTGATGACATACTACCATAAACGCCTTCACCACAACTTACCCAATGGTCAATACGACTTGTTTATATGAAGGTTACCGACTTTCGATCGTGTATAATCTATCAGTGGTCTCTTTATCAGGCCACACTAGAACCACACACTTCGCCTCTTTGTTTTGAAGAATGATGTGTCTTATGGATGTAGTTTTAAATTCAGAGCGTATTTTCGTTCTGTACAATTTAACTCTGCAGCCTTTGAGCGCTATTCATTCCGGAATATTGAGCTGTTAAGCTGGGTGACGTTAACTCTGGCCTTTTTTTTACAACTAAGCACAGAATTACTTTGATATTTCACGCCTGTCATGCTTGAAAAATATGTGATGGTGGTTGTCACCAATTATCTGCATTGTTCGGAAATCAGGCAAGCTTTTCCAACGATGGTGTGCCACCGATGCCACGCCTTTCCGCTTTTGCTGTGCTATTCCCGATGGTAGTGCTTCGTTTGAGCTCCACAATTATGGAGTCTACTTAAGTACTTCTGTACCTTTATGCAAAGCGTCCGGGACGCCATGCGCCAACTTCGGTCACATATTTGAGTGACTCCTACAACTGTGAACATCATAAAACACTATTTACCCTACATTTGAAATTAACAAAGCCGCGAGGAGTGTCAGGCTATGCTACCGAGTGAGTACCGAAGTGATGATCGCAGAGCAGTCCACATCGCCGTGGACCCATCAAGGCTCAATGTCTGGCCACTGTATGAGGAAAGGGGGCTTCGGTGAGGCCATTACAGTAATTGCGCGCTTGTCTTTATTGCTGCGAAAACCAAAGTTTCATCTACCTCTGTCTCTTTCTCTATGCCACCACCTTCACTCCCAGAGATGACGTTTTTCAACACGCAAGTGTTTTATGCCGGAGTCCACCACGGCTGCGCGACGTATTTCCGTCATAAATATCATGTTGTAAACTATTTACTAACAGATTGTAAAAAAATGAGAAGAAAAAGTTGCACAGCATAGCATCGAACCAGCAACTTTGAGCTCCTCAGTGCGCGACGCTAACCACCAAATCACTGTGTGTCCCTCGCAACGTGAACATGCAGGGTTGTATAGGACGTGCTCAGCAGCCAATTCTTCTATTTGTACGAGAGAGTCGGATTTTAAACAATCATCCATAAAAAGATTCTCAGCACCATCGCGATAAGAGAATAGCGAAGAACAGTGGATTTAAATCTTCTGGTCTTTATCTATACTGTGCGCAACGGTCCATACGTTGCTTTTCCGCCATATTTTGGTGTGCAGAAAAGTGTTATCAGATAGGGAAGGTGCTACTAGCTTTACGGGTCATTGGCATATGCTTCCGCACAAGCACCCTTTATTTACTAGAGCAAGTATGATCGTTGATTCTGTAAACTTTACTGGTAATTTTTCACAGGTGCTCAAGATGTTGCTGCGGCACTGAAAATAAACTGAATAAAAACATACGCGACTTTTCTGTTGCCTTATATTGATTTGTCACGTTTTCAGATGGTACAAATTTGAATGACACGAATAATTTTTGCAGCTTCGCTAGATTTGTACTCTGAGATTTTACTGTATGTGACTGAGACTATCCAATGACCGTAGCCACCTTCGGTTCATTGGACATTTATCTACTGCATGACTCCTATGTAGCCTTTCCTTCACCACTTTTTTACGCTATCGAAGTTCGGCTTGCTCTTACGTGTCTGAAATTAATTTCTGCGAGACAAGAGCAGCCATCTTCACCCGTGACAATCTGCTATCTTCCGAGACCATCCACCAAACTCTTCATAATCATTATAGTGAAGATGTAAACTGCAACCTTCCATACTTTGTGCTATTTTTTTCAATTTGCATCCTGAACCCCTGCGTATAACTGATGCCCGACTAAGCGGTCAACATTGTCGTGTCAACCACTAAGTGGCTGTAAATGTTGTTGGGATAAGAAATATCCAGGCATTCCAGGCATCTGACCCATCTGGTCCCCTATAAATGTGCAGTGCGTTCACAGCCTTCCGCAGCAGCGTCTGTTTCTTTACTAATGAATGATGTGAGTACTGAGAGCGAGTGCGGCTCCAGCGAAGACGAAAGGAACTGGTTGTCTTCTGCAGTGAGAAAGACTCATAGCGGTTCCACAAAGGCGGGATGCGTCTTTCTGTAGTAGCATCATATCCCGATCTTGTAGTCACGCTTCTCAACTTGCCAAGGATAAAAAAACACAGCATATCCGCGCAGTGAATGATGATGAATAGGGCGAAGCGTCCGTCAGCCCGCCCGTGCTTCCGTCCATCCGTCCGTCCGTTCGTTCTTGCTTCCGTCCGCCAGTCCGTCCATCCTTCTGTATGTTTGCCTGTTCGTACGTTCATCCGTCAGTACGTCCGCGCGTTTATCCACCCGTTGGTTCGTGCGTTTCTCTAGTGAACACTCCAAGTACCGCCATCTCCCATCTCGCATCCTCTGTGGCACATACCCGCTCTAGAGCGGGTATGTGCCAATGTTGGCCGCGTACTACTACATACATACACGGGATGGACAGACCCACGTTTTATGGAGCTTCGCCCCTAAAAAGGACTCACACCTTTTATACCTGTTGTGCTCTGATCACTCAGGTTTGCTGAAAAGACTGACAGCACAACTGTCACTTCGCTTGGGTGCACGCTTGAGTGCAACAGGTCTTACTTCGTATTACCCCTTCAGGCGCAAATAACAAAGCACAGCCTGCAAATGCGTCCAATTCGCATATTATGATTCCAAGGTTTTCAGTATTTCAAGAAAAAAATGAAGGAATGCGTTCTTTTGTGTTAGTTTCTGCATACTATGTGACTAGACATAATTAAATATCTATCTTGTAAATATTCAGCTTCAATACTTGTATAAAAAATCTAGGAATAATAAAAAATTAAGCCGAAAATGCATGAACAGTTTATTTTTCATTGCATCCATTTAGATCAAAGAAAAAGAAGTCTTCTTGTTGGTCCTCCAAATTCCAGATTTCACACCTTTCTTTATTAGAGAATTTTTAGCCGTAATACTAGCCCTTCGAAAACTGCCAACATCAATGAATTCCGCCATAATAATATCAGACTCCGTGTTGGTCTGCAGTGCACTCGCGGCATCCGGTGATTCAAAAACATTAGGCGAATTCAACTCCCTAGTACCGAATCTTTTAATCCAGGTGCGATTAGTATGGGTGCCGGGGCATAGAGGCATAACTTCAAATGAAACAGCTGACTCACTAGCGAAAGCGGCGTTAGACAGACCAGCTATCAATATTACCCCTACAACAGCCTTTATAGTAGCTTCTAGATTTCGGAGACAAATGGTGATGCGAGAATTCTCTACACGATCTTTCAAAAATTCCCCGGATTTCAACCATCTATTGACACTCTGGAAAACTTCCTCATGTCAAAACTGATG